TCCCATCGTGGGAATCGAGATAACTGAATACAATTGTCGAAGTGTGTCACCGCTTGCTCATATAATAGGTGTCGTGTTTGGCGATTCATCGGGTGCGCGGTGAACCCTTGGTGGGGATCATGCTCATCAGATGTTGACGATTTGTCCGGTGAGCAGCGGCTTGAAAATGCATGCTATGAGGGCATGTGTATCAAAAAGAAATTAATTTCTGAATCAAAAAATAATTATTTACGTAATCAACAACAAATTAATTAGCTAATCAAAAAATATTTATTTTCTTTCCCGTCTCTTGTATGCTTGCTCCTGGTCCACATGGTCGTCCTGGTCCCCTTGGTCCCCTGGTCCCCTTGGTCCCCTGGTCCCCTTGGTCCTCTGGTCCCCTTGGTCCCCTGGTCCCCTTGGTCCCTGGTCACCTCGTCGAAGGGAAGGGAAGGGAAGGAAGAAAAGAAGGGATCCAGGTAGGAGGCCGGCGCCTCGTCTGTACACGCGAAAAGTGACTCATCTGTACACGCGAATGATATACCTCGTCTGTACACGGGGATGCGCTGCTTCAAACTCACTCTCGCTCTCACTCTCACTCACTCACTCACTCTCACTCACTCTCACTCACTCACTCTCACTCACTCACTCTCACTCACTCTCACTCACTCACTCACTCTCACTCACTCACTCTCACTCACTCTCACTCACTTTCACTCACTCTCACTCACTCACTCACTCACTCACCCTTTTGTCCTTTTGTGGGCAGGGTGAAATTTCGAGAAGGAAGTGGCTATGCCAAGTTCACTCACCCTTTTGTGGGCCATGCAGGGGTAAAATTTAGAGAAGGATGTTGCCATTTCTTGACTCACCCTTTTGTGGGCAGGGTGAAATTTAGAGAAGGAAGTGGTCACCCCAACTTGACTCACCCTTTTGTGGGCAACGCAGGGCTAAAATTTCGAGAGGGAAGTGGCTATGCCAAGTTCACTCACCCTTTTGTGGGCCATGCAGGGGTAAAATTTAGAGAAGGATG